AAATGTATCCATCTCTTCTAATTTTTCGAATTTGTTAGAGTACAACTCTTCATAGTATTCTGTTATTATCCTTTCGATTTTGTTTGGTTCTGTTGTGACATTGCCCATGTGGTTTCTAATGCGAGTTATTTGTGTCCCTCTCTCTTTTCTTTTGTTAGTTTTGCCAGTGGTTTGTCAATTTTATTAATCCTTTCAAAGAACCAGCTCCTTGTCCTGTTGATTCTCTCTATAGTATTTCTGTTTTACATATCATTTATTTCTGCTATTATATTGATTATTTCTTTTCTTTTGGTGACTTTAGGTTCCCTCTGTTTTTCTGTTTCTAATTGTTGGAGATGCTGTGTTAATGGGTTAATTTTGGTTCTTTCCTCTTTTGGGATGTGCACATTTATTGCAATAAATTGTCCTCTGTACACCACTTTTTCCGTGTCCCAAAGATTTTGGTATGTTGTGTTTTCATTTTCGTTTGTTTCTAGGAACTTTGTCAATTCACATTTAATTTCTTCTTTTACCGAGTTACTTTTCAGCAGGGTGTATTACTCAGTTTCCATGTATTCGACTGTATTTCCTTGGTCTTCTTATTGTTGATTTCTAGTTTTATAGCATTTTGGTCTAAAAAGATGCTTTGTAGTATTTTGATGTTTGTAAACTTATGGAGGCTTGCTTCGTGACCTAACACATGGTCAATTCTGGAGAATGTTCCATGTGCACTGGAGAAGAATGTATATTGTGCTGTTGTTGGGTAGAATGCTCTGTATACATCTATGAGGCCAGGTTGGTTGATTGTATTGTTTAGTTCCTCTGTAACTTTGTTGAGTTTCTTTCTAGTTGTTCTGTCCCTTTTCGAAAGTGGTGGATTAAAATGTCTCAACATAATTGTAGACTTACCTATTTCTTTCCTCAATTCTAGTAAGGTTTGCTTCATAAATCTTGGTGCTCTCTCATTGGGAGCGTAGATACTTATTATGGCTGTGTCTTTTTGCTCAATTGAACCTTTGATCATGAGATAGTGTCCTTTATCTCTTATGCTGGTTTTTGTCTTAAAGTTTACATTATCAGAGATTAGTATTGCCACTCCTGATTGTTTATTGTTGCAGTTAGCTTGGTATATTTTTTTCCATCCTTTAACTTTTAGTCTCTTTTTTTTCTTTGTTTGTAAGGTTTGTCTCTTGCAGGCAGCATATTGAAGGGTCTTGTTTTCTTATCCATTCCGCCACTCTGTCTCTTTACTGGTGCATTTAATCCATTGACATTCAATGTAATTATTGATAGGTATGAATTAATTGTTGCCATTATGTTAATTGTTTGGTAATGCTGTTTGTTCCTTTGTTCTGCATGCCTTCTTGGGCTGAGTTTGGTTTTGTTTTGGGTTTTTTCCTGGTATTTCTTGTCGGTTTCTTCTTAGTTTTCATGTTTGCTTGTTCTACTTTGAATTTCATTTTCATGGTAAGTTGTGAAGTATTAACTTTCTTTGGGATTATTTTATAGTCTATTAACTTTTCTCTCCATTTAAGAGAATCTATTGTATCCTGTAATCTAACTGTCCTCCTCACCACCTGGATCTCTGTTCCTACATTTATCCCTTCTTTGACATGGATGTTATTTTGATCTTCAGTTGACCTCCCACCTCCTTTGAATTTGTTGTAGTTTTGTTCTATTCTGGACTCTGCTATCTGTCGACTGAGTTCCATGGTGTTGCCACGCCTGTCAATCTCTGGTTGTTGTCAGTTCTTGTTGGTTTTCAGTCCAAAGAACTCCCTTTAGGATGTTTTGAAGTGCTGGATTGGTTTTGATAAAATTTCTTAGATTCTGTTTATCCTGGAATGTTTTGATTACACCATTGTATTTGATTGATAGTTTTGCTCGATAGATGATTCTTGGTTGGCAGTTTTTTTCTTTCGGATTTTGTATATGTCTCCCCATTGCCTTCTTGCCTGCATGGTTTCTGCTGAATAGGCAGAGCTTAATCTGATTTGCTTGCCTTTGTAAGTGACACTTCTCTTCTCTGTGGCTGTTTTTAGGATTCTCTCCTTGTCTTTGATTTTGGAGAGCTTGATTATTATATGTCTTGGTGACTTTCTTTTGGGGTCTGTCCTTCCTGGGGTACATTTGGCTTCTTCGGTGTTTATCTTTTCATCTTTTAAGATGTTAGGGAAAATTTCTTCCAGAAGCTCTTCAGCTATCTCCTCTGTGGACTTCTCTGATACTTCCTGTTCTGGAATGCCAATAATTCATAAGTTGTTCTTCATGTTATCCAGCATGAATCTTAGACTCTCTTAATTTAAGATTTTTTAAATCCTTTTTTCAGCTTGCTCTTCTATCTTAGCAGTATTGAGAGATTTGTCTTCCAGGTCGCTAGTTCTGGCTTCCATCTCTTTCTTCTGTTCTGCTCCTTTCCCCTTTCAGTGTATTGTGCATTTCTGATATTTTATTATTAATTATCTGGACCTCTCTTTGCAGGTTTTGAATTGTTTCCAATGCTGTATCAATCTTGTTTGATTGCTCTTGTAGTACTTTCCTGACTTCTTCCTTGTTTTCCTCCACCCCTTTTCAGAGCATTTGAATTTGTTTCCACATCATTCTTATGAATTCTTTTTCAGGCAAATCCAGAACCTGCTCTTCCTCTTCTGGGAAGCCTTTGTCCCCAGTGCATTTGTCCCAGTTACTTTTTTCTGTGTTTGGACATGTTTTGAGATCATTTGTTGTGTTTGAGATCTTTTGTTTGTCGTTTCCAGTAGTTATGTGGGTTTTTTAATGCTTAAATGGGTGTTTGTTTCTGTGTTGTTAAGCTTACTGGGTGTCTCCTGGTGAATATGATCAAGAGATAGGCTTCCCTTTTTGCATGTAATGTTTAGCAGCTGTTATTGACTCCTGTGTCAATGGTGGAATATCATGGGGTATGTTTGTAGCTTGGCTATCTGGCCATGATTGCTGACTCTTCTTGGGTGACGTAGGGAGAATAAGCTCCCACCTGCAGGAAAAATGTGTGATGAAAAGGTCCAAAATCAGAAGCAATATAAGAGCAGAGACAAGAACTTCCACTTGAAACAAAAATAAAACGGTGGCTGACTGTTCAATTGCCTTGCTACACAGGCAGTGCATGTGCACCGTAGAAGCCTCCAATAGCGGGTGGGGGTGTCCACTTACTTAGGCCCCTCCTCTAGTAACCACCGTAGAGGTGCGCAGATAGATACTGAAAAGTTAATGGGAGAAAGATTGTTTACTATTTTTGTCTCTGAAGGTTGGTTAAGTATCTGCGTGTGCACAACATAATTCTTGAAATAGTTGTGTCTTCTTATGTTTGGGTCTTACAGATTGTTCATATGGTTTGTCTGTCAGGCCAAACCTGCTTTTTTTGTTGCCATATAGGCAGGGATTAATGGTCCTGCACAAGTTAACTTTACGGCTGGGACCACAGGCAGAAGTCAAAAGCAGAAGCCAAAGAATTTGCCCTTGGACCGATGGGCTCTTTCTCTCTGTGCCATGGAAAAGCTGTGGTCTCAAAACTGGACTACGGGGATGCACACCCACCCACCTGAAGGTGTCTGAACTGGGCAAAGAAGGCAGGACAGGGAGGAGGAGGGAAAAAAATGTGTAGAATCCCCCCAAGCCTCCTTTTAGCACTGGTTCCCTGTGCTGGTCTGGCTGTAGCCCTGCCTTCTGACTTCTGCCCTTGCAGGATGGCCACAGAGGGAGTCCTGTGCCTTGACCAGTTTCTAAAACACAATGTTTTCCTTTATACTGTGATTTTTCCACTGTTGGTTGTAGGAAACTGACGCCCTCACCCTTATTCTAGGTTCAGAGCTCTGGTGCAGTTTCTTGAGAGCTGCGTCTCTGGGTTTTCAGCCCCTCCCCTACAGAGCATGTCCTACCTGACACTGCTCTGCAGCAGCCAAACCGGAAGTGCCTTTTGTGTTTTTGATGAATATAGTTTTCCTTGGACAAAGTAGATCCAATTAATACATAAAGTTTCTCTAGTGAACTAGCATTTTATGTATGACAAATAGAGCAAGTGGATGTTGTTACCTAAGAAATGAAATAGAGTTATATTTAAATTTTAAAACTTTATGTTGCGACTAGTTTATTAAATATATTTAGGAAGAGTTTCGATTAACTGGTTTAAGTTGTACAAGAATTACATGGGTGAATTGTTAAACAAAGAAATGGACCCTACGTCTAGACATTTTTCTCCATTGGGGCCAAGAAATTGGCATTTTAACAGGCCTTTCTGGTTTTTGGAATGCAGGCCTTCCCTTGAATTATCCTTAGAAACACTACTCTAGAGAAACCCTACAAATAAAAAAATATATATAGTAAACGAATTAGTTACATATTTTCAGTTTTTTTAAAAAAAGGGCTTACATAGGAAAGGACTCCACGTTAGAACCAGTTGGAATGTGCTTTTACTCACAAGATAAAATTTCCCTTCAATAAGTATTCTAGATTTTTAAATGTAACTGTTGACATTTTTAAGATGTTGCTTATTTCTTTGTGACCCATACATTTTCTATCCCCTTGATTCTAAAGAATGCCAGCTTAGCTATGTGGAAAGTCCAGTTTCAAGTATGCTATATGGTGTTTGCTATATCATTTGATAATGAAACATATACATAATGGCATATTAAACTATTTCCTTTCTATATTTGACATGGGCACGAAATTAATGATTTATGGCTAGCAAATACATTTTTATTAAATTCTATTGGTAAAGGTAAATTGCGGAAAGAAAGGTAGAGATCTATGTAGCCAATCCTGGTTTTAGGGTTTTTAATTTCATTTTATATGTTTTTCATACATATATTTCTTGAATATTTTAGAGTATATATGCAGAGGAGTATTTCAGAGAACTTGTTTTGACTGTCACCACAACTTTTTCTTGAATAGTTTCCAGTTACATAACTGAACATGGTCTGGCTGTAGTAGTGGTAAACATTGAATCATTTGTGGTATCTAATTTTTCAAGAGTTAAATAAGGTTTTCTATTTTTTTTTCTTTTTCAGTATTGTTGTCCAGACATGATAAATAACTTTTTGGGACTGGCTAAAACAGAATTTTCAAGTACAACAGATAAAAATATGACAGTTGATTCAGAGAAAGGAAAATTGATCATGTTAGTTAATGACTTTTATTATGGAAAGCATGAAGGAGATGACCAGGAAGAACAGAAGACTCACACAACCTTTAAGTGCTTCAGTTGCTTGAAAATTCTTAAAAATAATATTAGGTATGTAAATAAATACTTATTTTTAGGTAACTGTTACCCATTTAATTTTGAATGATTTACCCTTCCATGGTGAGTATACCTTACTAGTATCAGCGTCCTCCCCATAGACTCATCTACTACTTGGCTGAGAGTTGGGCAATGAATGTGAGGTCCTTTCCAGACCTGAAGGGTGGTTGAGAACCCTAGTTTCAGGTTCCTCTAGTCTGTTTCTCACCTGTAAACCTGGTCTTCTTTTTTAAATAAATTTGAATTTTGTTCCATATTTTCTTCCACTCTAGCTGGGACTTTCAGAGCAGTTGGTAGTGGTAGCTGAGCACCACCTAATCCTTCTGGTCTAAGAGTTGTGGAGACTTGTTCCCATGTTCCATTAGTCCATTGGAGAAAGCTTATTTTAATGTAATGAAAAATTAACTTCTCTTCCCAATATTACCAGTGGTCTAAGAATTTTAATGAGTTAGATTGATTTTTTTAAAATAGATTCCTTTGCATTTTTTGTACATCACAAGAAATGACCTTTGTTTTGTTTAGTTTGACCTTTCCTTGCTAATATTATTTATTGTTCAAATCTTTCCATTTATAATTCATATTTATAATTTTTGGATAATTTACCTGTACAGAAAGTGATCTTGTGATTTATTTTAAGAGAATTACTAGTTCCAGGAATCGTGTCTTCTTTGATTTTTTTTAAAAATTAACATATTTAAAACATGTATATAATTCTTCCATGGAATTTTGTAGACTTTATACATGTATATTTTAAACTTATGAACTTGTGCTTTGTAATTTTGAAGTTATGTGTCATTTCACAACATTCTTCTTAGGTGATTTAGTAGCCATAACAAAGTAGTAAAACGTATTGATATATATTTTTGTATTATTATATGTTATTGTTGTTAAGTGCCATTGAGTTAGTTCCAACTCATAGCAACCCTATGTAGGGTTTCCAAGGAGTGACTGGTGAACTTGAACCACCGACCTTACAGTTCAGATGACTTTGCAGTCTGGCATATTAACCCACAGTGCCACTCCAAGACTCCTATTGTTATACAGTCTGATATTATATTGGATAAGATTAATTTTCTAAAGTTTTATTATAACAAATTTCAAATATTCAGCAAAGTTGAAAAAATGTTACCCAAGTATATTTTCATATGTACCACCTTGATTCTGCTGTTCATATTTTTTACTATACATGCTTGTTGACTATATTTTATCCTTCAAATGGTCTCATTTTCTTGATCCAGCAATACTGCAGGTAGTCTTGGGAATCTGCTTCCATTAAGATTATTGTTGTTAAGTGCTGTCAAGTCAGTTCTGACCCATAGCGACCCTGTATAGTGTTTCCGAGGAGTGACTGGTGAGCTTGAACTGCCAGCCTTGCGGTTCAAACTGACCTTGCAGTCTAGTGCATTAACTCAAAGCTCCACACCAGGATTCCTCCAAAACAACCCTATGGAACGTTTCTACTCAGTAATACATGGGATTGCTGTAAGTCTGAATCTGCTCGATTCCAACAGTAACCAACAACAACCTTCATCCTTCTTTCCAACGATCTGATTTTCTTGATGTGTTCCAAAGTTGCAAGCATCACTGTACTTCCCTTCAGTACATGTGCACATGCCCTCCCCCCCACCCCCCCACATATATACACACAAAGGACTTCAGAAAGTTCGTGGAGAAATGGAATTAAAACATAATAGAATTTTTTCACCCACTGTGTGTGAAGTCTCCTCATACATATTTTTAACGCTTACTCTCAATAGCTATCATTTATACTTAGCGTACTAAATGCCTATAGCTTACTTTGGGGCCAAACCTTTATTTTTCTGTTAGTTCTTGGGACCAAAAAGAAGTACATAAAGAACCCTAAAATATACCATAACATAAATATCTTAGCAATTATGAATACCATATTTAGGGTAGTTTTCAAAGTTCATCTGCATTTTTTATATGAGTTGTCACATTTCTTTACCTCCTGTAACTCAGAATCAATTCGACAGCAACTGATTTTTTTCCCATGCCTTAACAACCAGCAGTAGCTAATAAGTCTCAGTTGTTAACAGAAGGGAAATTGTTCTTGGAATTACGAGGGAACTTCAAAAACTTCATGGGAAAATGTCACTATCTTTCAATTACATTTTTCCTTAAGTTTTTGAAGCCCCCTTGTGTAATACTGAAATAGTATGACAATAAAACCTTGTCACCTCTTCCATACTTTTACCATTTTAGTAATAAAATATATAATGCACCAGAAAATCACATTAGTAAAATGGAGTCTTGGTGTGGTGCTGTAGGATAAGCACGGGACTGCTAACCACAAGATGAGGCATTCCTTGGAAACCCTATATAGAGTCACTATGAGTCAGAACTGACTTGAGTGTACTTAACAACAACAGCAAATGTAAAATGTATAGAAAAGTGGTAAACAGCTTTTTCTTTAAGATCCCAAACCCAAACCCACTGCCACTGAGTCAGTTCTGATTCTTAGCAATACTAAAGTGACCCTTTACAAGTAGCGTATTTGTTATTAAACATGTAGAAATAAAAGGTATCTTTTTTTCTTGTTATTTCAGAATATTTCTAGAGTATCAGAATAATATCTAGAAATTGAGTGTTTTTGTGAAGATTGATGGTTTAATAGTTGATTGTAAACACTGGGTAACCAAACAAGTTTCATATTTCAAATAATATATTACCTTGACAATAAAAACTATAGCGGCAAATTTATGGTGTTAGAGGATAGGTCAAGATTTTCACTCTGCCTTGTCAACATAAAGGCAGTTCCTGGGTATCAAATGAGATTCATTTCTAACTGTGTCTCTTAGTTAAATTTGTAGATAAGTTGGAAGGGTGCCTAGGGTTTCTTAGCCTTACTGTGTGTGCAAGAAAAGACTTGAAGCCTTTTCAGTGTTTTGAATGATGAACGTGCAGCAAGTGAAGGTGACTGTAATTAATTTGTTTCATTGGGGGGTTGGCTCAGTAGAGGTTAAGTCTCTACTGAAGTGATACATTATCACTTAATTTTGAGATTGTTTCCTTTGTGGATTCACAATAAATCAATTCAAAAGTGAGGGCAAATTTACATAACATTAAAGGGCAAGTACTGGTTGCCTTTGGTCCCCTGTTTGTAACCTAGGGATTTCTACATTGAGTATCTCCAAAATGAGATAGAGTAATTTTATTCTTGTAATCATTTTTTCCTCCTGAATTTCCATCTACTGGTTTAAGAAGTATGACCTCTTGATGGGGATTTTTGTAGTAATTGTGAGAAAGCTAGTTGGTTGAGGTAATTTTTATGTAGGTATTTTTTTTTTAAGTTTTGAGTTGTGAGTTCTAAGTTCAATAACTTAGTCTTTTTTCTTATGTGTGTAAATATTTAGCCAAGACTTGGATTGTTTATAAAGTCCATAGGTGTTGTAAATAGTTAACCTACTCAGCTGGTGACTGTATGGTTAGAGAAGAAGGATTGGCAATCTACTTCTGAAAAATAAGCCATTGAAAACTCTTTGGAGCACAGTTTTACTCTGACACACATGGAGCCACCAGCAATTTGAAAGCAACTGGTTACTGATAACTTATAAAGAGATAAAAATTATTATAGAAATAATGATTGATACTCAAAACAAAGACATTATCACTTTATTTTGAGATTGCTTCCTTTTTTGGATTCACAGTAAATAATTACTAATAGTTGACTTAGTCTAAAAATTATTATTCCAAATTCTTCAGTAAGCTGTTTTAAACATTCCCACTTACTTTGCACTCTCTGCTGCTGCAGGTCATAGTTCCTGCTCATAAGAAGCCTTTTAGGGAAGCTGAAATAGCAGAATGTAAAACTGAAAAATGGACATTGCCTACAAAGGGCATAGTCTGCAAGTTAAAGTGAACAGTCTGTGCTAACAGTAAACCAGTATCATTAAATAAAACTAAAGGTTTTTATAATTATAGGCATTAAAATTGCTTTTACATGCACTTAGAAACCAAGATACAAGTAAAAAGACCAGTAATTTGTCATTTTAAGCAGCTGGAACCAATTGTACATCTTCAAGACCTTAAAAGATTCTCTCATGTCTCTGTAGCTGCTTTTGTTGGTAGAGCTTTTTTGTTTACAGCAACTTACTTTAAAATGTAAATTGTATTTTACGTGTAGAAAGTAAATTTGCAGGATCTTCTTTACAGTAAAAAAAACAAAAAAATTTTAATGTTCTGAAATAATAATGATTAAGAACTTAAGTAAATTATTAATGTTTCAGATTAATTAAATTAATTTTAAAACAAAGGTTAAAAGAAAATATCATTAGTTTATTAAGCCATTTAATGTACATGATTAAAGGTGTAAACTTTTATAGAGGGTGTTAAGACTTTGGAGGATTTGTTTTGAGTGATACAACTGTATTTTTAAGAAATAGGCAAAGATAAGCAGTTGTGAGACTATTTTGAATCTAATTTTTGTACCTGCTGATAATTGTTTCTAGGTTTATGAACCACATGAAACACCATTTGGAACTTGAGAAGCAGAGCAGTGAGAGCTGGGAAAACCATACCACCTGCCAGCATTGCTACCGTCAGTTTCCCACCCCATTCCAGCTTCAGTGCCACATTGAAAGTACACACACACCCCATGAATTTTCTAGTAAGTTCAAATGGATTTAAATATTATTGATTTTGATCATCTGAACTGGTAGAAAACTTTAAGAACTCTGATGAAAACAAAATACAACTAAGAAATAGACTTTGGAATTAGAGGGCAAAATTGGAAAGTTTCGTTTTAACTTTTATAAATTTTTAACTAATGTTACTGGCAGTCCCTGGGTTAAAAACATCAAATTTATATACAACCTGTAGTTACTGCCACCCCACTTAAAGCCTGTTATATTAAAATTTTTGAGTTACTGACAGTGATTTGCAGAAATAAACAACTTGAATCAAAACATTATAATTATTACTGTATTAATATGTTAGAGATGTTTTAATATATATGGGTATGTTTTTTATGTATGGGAAAGTATGTTGTATACTAAGACAAACATTTGCTTAATTGATATTAGGTACGAACTATCCTGTTCTGTTCTTGCTAATTTCACTAAAAGATAGATTTAAGAACTGAACTTGTTCTTAATCAAGGGAATGCCTATAGTTACTGAAGTAGAAGTAACTACAGGCATCCTATATTTACATTCTCTTGTAAATATTCCTTTAGTGAAGACTCCCTTGGCATAACATATGCATTATATGTGCAGGACTAAATTCGAAACCTCAGATTCCATGGTTTTCCAATGTGAAACCAGTTCTCTTCATGTTAACATCAGTAAGAAAAGTAGCAACAGTGGTAGTTTAAAGTGCTGATTTTGCAGCTAAACAGCTTGAGTTCAAATCCAAATTTTATATTTTACAGCAGCTGTATGATCTCAGGCAAGTTACTTACTATTTGAATAATGGCGGTAATAATAGGACCTTCCTCATGTTGTTTTTACAAGAATTATGTTAGTTAAAATAAGTAAAAGTGCTTAAAATTGTACTTGACACAGAATTAACTCTTTAGCACCACCAAACTACTACAACTATTATTACTGTTGTTGATATAGATGTGTCAGATGAATTATATATATATATATACATATATACAATATCTTAAAATAGTGTAATGTCTTTTTTCCCCCCACTTTTAGCCATTTGTAAAATCTGTGAATTATCATTTGAAACAGAACATGTTCTTTTACAACATATGAAGGACAATCATAAACCCGGTGAAATGCCATATATTTGCCAGGTACACACACATTTTATTGTGTACTTAAGTGTTTGGTTTGTTTGTTTCTGTGGTTACAAAATTTAAACCTATTAAATGTGACGGGTCAGCAATTTTGAAAAATTTTTGTATAAATGATCAAATAGTAAGTATTTTAGACTGTGAGAGTCATTTACTCTGTTGGAACTACTCAGTTTCTGTAATTGTAACACAATAGCAGCTATCGATAATAAGTAAATGAATGGATATGACTGTGTTCAATAAGTCTTTGTTTATGGCCACTAAAATTTTGCATTTCTTATAAATTTCATGCCTCTTGATAATATAATGTTCTTTTTTTGTTTTTAAACTACTTACATAGAATTGGTAACAAAAACTAAAGTGCCTCTCATAATAATTTATTAGAAATTCATGGCTTAACTTGTACATTTTATGTATGGTTGGCAGGCAGTAGGCTGGATTTGCTCCTCATGTTGTTGTTTACTGACCCCTGTATTAGACAAAGAAAAACCCTTTTGGAGAAAGACAAATTTGTGACTATATCTACCATATAGGGAAGAATGCAAGTATAGCAGGGAAGCATTAGGTGCCATTGAGTCAGTTCAGACTCATAGCAACCTATGCACAATAGAAAGAAATAGTATCCGGTCCTGCACCATCTTCACAATCATTGTTATGTTTGAGCCCACTGTTGTAGCTACTCTGTCAGTTCATCTTCTTGAGCTTCTTTCCCTGTTTTCCTCAGTTTACCAAGCATGATGTCCTCCAAGGACTGGTCCCTCCTGATGACATGTCCCAAGTATGTGAGATGAAGTCTCACTACTCCTGCTTCTAAGGTGCATTCTGACTGTACTACTTCCAAGACAGGATTTTGTTTATCTTCTGACAGCTCATGGTATATTCAGTATTACTCACTAATACACTAATTCAAATGTATCATTCTTTTTTTTATATTGTCCAGCTCTCACATGTATATGAGGCAGTTGAAAATATCATGGTTTGGCTTAGGCATACCTTAGTCCTCAGAGTGATATTTTTGCTTTTTAATACTTTTAAGAGTCTTTTGCAATGGATTTGCCCAATGCAATATATGCTGTTTGATATCTTGACTGCTGCTTCCATGGGTGTTGATTATGGATCCAAGTAAACTAAAATCCTAGACAATTTCAGTCTTTTCTGTTTATCATGATGTTGCTTATTGGTTCAGTTGTGAGGATTTTTGCTTTCTTTATGTTGAGTTGTAATTGAAGGGTTTAAGTAAATGCTTTAGTCCTCTTCACTTTGAGCAAGAAAGGTGTTATGTTGGCCGAATATTGCAGGTTGTGAAAAGAGTTTTCCTCCAACTTGGATACCATGTTTTTCTTCATGTAGCCAGTTTCTCAGCATACAAACTGAATAAGCATGGTAAAAGGATACAACCCTGATGCATACCTTTCCTGATTTTAAAACATGCAGTATTCTTGTATTCAGACAACTGCCTCTTGGTGTATGCACAGGTTCCACATAAGTACACAACCAAGTGGTTTGGGATCCCCATGCTTGCATTGCTATCCATAATTTGTTATGATCCACAAAGTTGAATGCTGTTGCATAGTTAATAACACACAAGTAAACATCTTTCTGGTATTCGCTGCATTCAGCCGAGGTCTGTCTGACACAGCCGTGATATCATTCCATGATACCTTGTGAATGTTACTTGAATATCTGATAGTTCTCTGTTGATCAAGTGTTGCAATCATTTTTAAAGTTATCTTCAGCACAACTTACCTTGTATGTGATGTTAATGCTATTGTTTCATAATTTCTGCATTCCATTGCATAACGGTTCTCGTCAGTATTCGAATATATGGATTTCTTTTAGTCAGGTGGCCAAATAGCTCTCTTCCAAAATTCTTGGCATAGACGAATGACTGCTTCCAGCCATTGCATCTGTTAGTTGAAACATTTCGATTGGAATTCTTTCAATTCCTAGAGCCTTATTTTTCATCAAATGCCTTTAGTGAAGCTTGAGTACCATCCGTTTTTGATCATATACTGTCTCTTGAAATGTTGACTGTTGACCAGTTCTTTTTGTCATAGTGATTCCTTACATTCCTTCCATTTTATTTGTTGCTTCCTGCATCATTCAGTATTTTGCCCATAGAACCCTTTAGTATTGCAACTGAAGGCTCAAAATTCTTTTTCCCCAGTTCTATATTCAGTATTACTCACTAATACACTAATTCAAATGTATCATTCTTTTTTTTATATTGTCCAGCTCTCACATGTATATGAGGCAGTTGAAAATATCATGGTTTGGCTTAGGCATACCTTAGTCCTCAGAGTGACTAAGAAATGCTGAGTGTGTTCTTTCTTTTTGGTTTTCTAACTCCAGATTGTTGCACATTTCATTATAATACTTTATTCTCCAGGTGCCCTTTAAAATCTTGTGTTTAGCTCTCTTCATCATTTCATCCATTCACTTTAGCTACTTTATGTTTAAGAGGAAGCTTCAGAATCTCTTTTAACATCTATTTTTGTCTTTTCTTTCTTTCCTGTCTTTATAATGAACTTTTGCTTTTTTCATGTATGATATCCTTAATGTCATCTGCAGTCTGTTCAGTCTTCTTTCCTTGGTGTTAATTACCTCAAATCTTCTCTTGAGATGGCCTCTAAATTTCAGGTGGTATATTTTCAAGGTCATTTGGACTCTCATGAACTTATTTTTATTTTTCTCAGCTTCAGTTTAAACTTGCATATGAGCAACTGATGATCTTTTCTGCAGTTGGCCCTGGAATAGTGTACTTCTCTATCATCTCTTTCTACAGACATAGCCAATCGTTTTCCTTCCACCAAGTTTCATGTTTATGTTTTTGAAAAACGATAACAGACATAGCTCAGAGATACCGAGGGTTTGGTTCCAGACCAGACAATAAAACAAATACAACAGTTAAGCAAGTCACACAAATTTTTGTTTTCTAGTGTATATAAAAGTTATATTTAACACTAAGAATTACCAAAATGTGACACAGAGACATGAAGTGAGTTACGTGCATACTGTTGGAAACCTGGTGCTCAGTGCAGGATTGCTACAAACATTAATTTGTATAATGCTTTATTTGTGAAGGTCAGTAAAGTGAAGTGCAATAAAATGAGATATGCCTATATTTTCAGTGAATAAGTTATTATCTTGCATAATTCTTTCGTATGATCTTTGGTATTATTTGTATCATCAAGGCTATATTTCCCAGCTGCTGATCCTTCTTTTTTTCCCAATTTTTGCATCCCTGTCACCAGTTATCAATGTGTCTTGATGTATATTTGACCAATTATTGTCTGCAGAGATTAGTTAAAAATCTTCAATATCTTCATCTTTGACTTTAATGATTAGTGTGTAACATGGAATAATAGTTGTATTAATTGGGCTTCTTAGTCGGCAATGTGGATATGATCCTGTCACTGGCAGCATTGTATTCTCGGATGTATCTTGAAATGTTCTTTTTGACAGTGAATGTGACTCAGTTCCTGTTTGCCTTGTCCTTCCAAGCATAGAAGATGGTTAGGTTTCTGATTCAAAATGGCCACTGCCAGTCCATTTTAGCTCACTCTAATGGCTAGGATGGAGTCCTCATGCGGATAAGCACTGGACCACTGGGTCAGTGTGAACTGCAAGGTTAGCTGTTCAGACACTCCTTGGCAACGCTATACAGGGTCACTATGAGTCAGAATCAACTTGATGACATTTAACAACAGCAACAATACCTTGGATATCAAGCTTAATGTATTCTACTTCACTTTTGACTATTTCCAGTTTTCCTTGTTTCACACATTTGCATTCCACCTTCTGATTATTAATGGATGTTTACAGCAGTTTCTTGTCATTTTGAGTTGTGCTGTATCAGCACATGAAGGGTCTGAAAGCTTTACTCCATCCATGTCATTAAGGTCAGTTCTAACTTTGAGGAGACCACTTTCCCCAGTAATATTTTGAGTGCCTTCCAACTGGGGGTGGGCTCATCTTCTGACAATACATCCAACAATATTCTGATGCCATTCAATTTCCCAATGGACAGTTTTCCTAGAAGTTGATATCCAGGTCTTTTTTCCTAGTCTCTCAGTCTGGAAGCTCAGCTGAAACCTGTATACACTTGATGACCCTGCTGGTATTTGAAATACAGATGTCATAATTTATAGCTTTTGTTTAATATAGATGTCATAGCTTACAGCATCACAGCAACATACAAGTAACCATCAAACAGGAAACTGACAGATGAGTGGTGGTCCCTGGGAAATAGGAGATTCTTTTAGTTACAGAGCACCCAGCTAAATGCTTTGGGACTAATATAGTTTCATAATTTGAAAGTATAAGAATGCAAGAAAAATACATATTCTCACTGCCGTAGGCTGAAGGCTATTTAAAACCATGAGGAGAATACTGTTTTATATAACAGAAAAACTTTATAGGAGGAATTCTTAGAGCTTTAAAATTCAACTCAAAACCAAAGGGTGGTAGATCTGAAGAAAAGAAGGAAATTTAGTTATGTTTTCGGAAGCATTCCTAAATTTTTTAATGTAACTCTTCTGTCTCAGTATCTTTTGGTGCTTATATTAATGGGTTCTTTGGTTGTGGACATCAGAACTGAGTCATACACATTGTTCTCTAAACAAGTGACCCAGCATTGTTACTTTGTATATCAGTTACATATTTTCAAATTGAACTAAACCTTCTTTATATTTCTAGGTTTGCAATTATAGATCATCATTGTTTTCTGATGTTGAAACTCATTTTAGAACGTCCCATGAAAACACTAAAAACTTGCTTTGTCCATTTTGCCTCAAAGTTATTAAAATTGCAACACCCTATATGCACCATTACATGAAGCATCAGGTGAGATTTATTCGTTTTTATTTGTTTATATTGTCTTAGCTTAAAGACTGATTATGACTTAGAACATTGTTTCAATTTTTTTTCTTCAAAGAAAGTTCTAAATAAGATTTATTTTCACATATACTAAATTACTTGGGAAACTTCCTGTTCTTTTTCTTGATTGCTCTCTGTTGATGGTATAGCTTGTAAATAATGAAAATTCTGAAAGGTAGCTAGAAATAGTGACCCTGGAAGTAAGAGGGGAAAAAAAGGAAGATAAGTGAAATATCCAAAAGATTTCCAAGCCCAGAGGTAGTAGGTATTGAACTAATTTTGAAGATAGTCATAAAGAGTATAGGAAAAGATAAATTAGCACAAGAAAGATAAGATTGAAGACTCGTAATCTCATTTTCCTCTTAGTCTTCAAACTATTTCCACTTACTAGTCTTGTTATTATGAGAGTACACGTTGTTGTCATCATTGACCCAGAGTGTTTTTTAATAGGTGCCAGAAACAAAGAAAACAGTCAACTATATATTTAATGATAGCTATGCGAACTCTAGGCTATAGAACTTACATTATAGCTTGTTTCCTGGGTGGGTCAGTTCTGCTACATAATTTATGTTGTTGTTGTTGTTGTTAAGTGCCGTTGAGTCGGTTCCAACCCATAGCGATCCTGTACAGGGTTTCCGAGGGTGTAAACCCTTACGGGAGTAGAAAGCCTCATCTTTCTCCCGCGGAGCGGCTGGTAGTTTCGAACCGCTGACCTTAAGGTTCGCAGCCTGATTCATAACCACTACGCTACCAGAGCTCCTACATAATTTATAGGATCCCAATATTGGTGTTTGCTTTCTTCCTTTAAATTCTGATGTTTCACTCACTGGTTCTTATCCTGAAACAATTAAGCCATCCTGTTTGGTCTGTAACCTTTGGTAAAACACTAAACTTACTCTTGCACACTTCAAAGAAAAACAGTGCCTTTGCCAAATTAGAAGTCAATGGATTTGTTAAATCTTTTCATGTAATCAAGGAGTCCTGGGTGGTGTAGTGGTTAAGTGCTCAGCTTCAAACCCAAAGGTTTGAGTTGGAGCCAGGAGCCTGCTCTGTGGTGGAAGATGTAGCAGCAGTCTGCTTCCCTAAAGGCTGTATCCATGGAAACCCTAAGGGGCAATTGTACTCTGCCCTTTAGGGTTCCTGTGAGTCAGAATCAGCTTGATGCTGTGAATTTTATATTTTGTTTAGAGTATGTAAATCCATTTTTCCCACTTCATTAACCAACTCTATACATTTTCTTATTAAATTGGCATGTTAATTTATTTAGCACTTGTGTTCATATTTTTTCTGTTCCAGTCATTAGGCAATCATGAAATCAACTATGGTTGTTAAGGAGAAAAAGCATCAAAGTAGAATTCCAATATAAATTTGGTATCCACCTACATTGTTATTGGCATGCCATCCATCCTTGAGCAGATTTGGAAATACCTGTTTGCTCTAAGGTTTCCCTAGCAATATTCCATCTGGTTTCATTCAGTAGGCTGTTGTTGTTGTTGTTATCTGTTGTTGAGTTGGTTCTGACTCATGGTGGCCCTGTGTAGGGTTTCCAAGGAGCAGTTGATGAGTTTGAACCACCAACCTTCCTTTAGCAGCCCAGTGCTTATCTTGCAGTGCTGCACACTCAAATGTCTGATAAATAAGTTTGGTAACAGCCTAATTTACAAAATAAAACAGTGTTTTGTTTTTAAACAGTACTTCTCAGAACTTGTAATATGGGGTGAGCATTCTAGATCTCCAGTGAAGGGTTATGAGTTATTGTGTCGTTACCCAAACTGGACCATTGAACCTTCATTTGCACACTACTTACTAGCGTTTCTTGAGGAACAGAGTTTGGGAAATGGCTATTTTTAATATTCTATATTTCATCTTTGACCTTTAATTTTGAAAGTGAGAATGGAGTATAAGATGTAGCTCTGTTTCACTATGAGAGTTTTAATATAATTTTTCTTTGATGCTTTCCTAAGCTTGAGTGAGATGGAGAAGTGAGAAAGATAAGTATGAAGGAGATATGTGGAATCACTACTTGGGCAATGTGATCTACAGTTAGTCTTCATATTATGTATTTTTGAGTTGTATGTTTTAACTTGCTATGAAGATTCAATGTAATTTTTGTTTGTTCGGAGTATGCAGAGAGTATACAGCCAGCAATAAAGAGGGGATAATCTAATAAAATAAGGACATAAGGCATCCTTCCAGGTATTTTAAATTTGCAAAACCATTTACAAAAGACTGGATGGTGCAAATAGTAATGTGCTCGGCTGCTTACTGAAAGTTGGGGTTCAAGTCCACCCAGAGGAGCTTCAGAAGAAAGGTCTGGTGATCTGTTTCCAAAAATCAGCCCTTGAAAATCATATGGAACACAGTTCTATTCTGAAACACATGCAGTTGAGAGTCAAAATCGACTCCATGATAGTTGGTATTTTAATTGACTTAGAAAACCTTATCTGAGCAGGATTATAAATTTATAATTGAGATGGCATTGTTACTAGAAGAAGTGTTGTTGTTAAATGCTGTCAGGTCGCTTCTGAGTCATAATGATCTTGTATAGCAGGGGTAGTAATGTCCTGTCTGCAGACCATATTAGTCTAGCCCTGCCAAGGTAACCATAGTTCCAGCCAGTTAACAGTTGCTGTTAAGTGCCTACAAGTTGGTTCTGACCCATAGTGACCCTGTATAGGGTTTCTGAGGAGTGGCTGGTGAGCTTGACTCCCAACCTTTCTGTTCAAATCAACTTTGCAATCCAGAGCATTAATCACAATGCCACAGCAGGACTCCAGCCATTGTGAGTTAATTAAATGTTTGACCAAATACAGCAGGCTAATTTTTAAATTGATAATTTTGTATGGTCCATGAATGATGTTAAAATTTTGGCAGAGAAAATGTTCCCACCACTGCTGTATAGGGTTACCGAGGAGTACCTCGTGACCTTGCAGTTGAGCCTGGCCTCGTGGCCCAGTACTTACCCTCTAGCACCACACCAGTATCCCACTATTACAGTAGACAGTAAGAATACTATCTGTGACTCACTTCAGTTCTAACTTTTCCTTAATAAAGAATCTCTGTCTTCAGGTGATTTTAGAGATAGCAGCCAGTTTATATGACTTTGTAGAATAGTCTTAAATTCTGGTGTGGTGCTGCTGTGGGTTAATGCACTGGACTGGCAAGGTTGGTTTGAACCACAGGGTCAGTGTTTCATGCTCACCAGCTGCTCCTTGGAAACCCTATACAGTGTCACTATGAGTCAGAACCAACTCCACGGCATTTAACAATAACAGTTATGTTCATTAGATCTTTAATTAAAACAAAAACAGTATATATTCATCATTTGCCTTATGACAGTCAATGTTGCTTTACGTGTTGTTTAATCCCTACAACCACTCTACAAAGCGGCTCTAGTATTATTGTATGTTTTATAGAGGAAAAACAAAACTTTAAAGAAATAACCCAATTGTTGTCACATATTATCTGACAAATGGCAAAGTTAAAAAAAAATTGACTTCAGAGCCCTGCTTTGCCAGAGTGAGATTTCATACTGGAATTTAATCTAAAGACATAATTATAGATACTCAAAAATTACCTTGAAAAGCCCTCAAATCACTGTAAACAATGTAACAGTGATGTCTGACTTCTTCAAACAGATTGTACTTTATTTGATTGAGTATCATGTTATTAAAAAAAATGCATTAGTGAGATGTTGGTGGTTCGATGGTAGAAGTCTCACCTTGCATGTGGGAGCCATGGGTTCAGTTCCCAGCTAGGATACCTCACACACAGCCACCACCTTCTGCTATTGGAGTACTTCACACCACAGTTTGATAGAACTTTCATTGACCCTGCTGATAGAACTTTCATCCTTGATTCCTATATGGTAATAAATAATTTTGAAACCCAATTGCTACTGCAAGTTATGTTTTTAAAAAATAGTAATATATTGGTAGTATTTATTATGGAAAAGGACAAAATACTAGTTTTTAAATTGTTGAGCTGTCCTTAAAGCTAAGTCAGAGTAGTAGCATGTCACAGGAGTTGTGGTTGTAGAGCTTCTTTTCCCCTGGTTTTTTGCTTTGTTTTCTAAATAGAAAAAAGGAATACATCGTTGCTCAAAATGCAGGCTGCAGTTTTTGACATGCAAGGAGAAAATGGATCACAAGACTCAACATCATCGAACGTTTATGAAACCTAAACAACTAGAAGGATTGCCTCCTGGAACAAAAGTGAGTTTTAAATATGTTGTATTTTAAGTGGTTGTATGATAATAGAAATTAACTCTTGCCTGTTGTTTATTTTTTTAATAAGATATTTTAGAAGTGACTTCTGAATTTTACTGTGACTTTAATGTTAGGTTTCATCATTGTTAGGCTTAGAAAGAAAAGACTTCTAACTATTGTTTTGAGTTCAGTGGCCTGTCCTTTGTTGGAGTGGTATTCCTTTGTAAAAAGTGCATCTAGATTAACTTTTGCCTGGATGAGTGGATTATTTAAATATTATAAAGGCTATTTTTGAGATATTCCATTTGGCAGTTACATGTCTGTTTTAGCTGTTAGACTGTATGGGGTTTGAGAACAGAAATCATGTTTGATTTATTTTTGTGTCCTCATTACTGGTTTGCCATAGGTATGCTTTGAGTGCCATAGGCTCCTAGATATTTGTTGAAATTGGTGTTACTGGGTTGCTTTCAAAGAAGCAAGTTCTGCTGCTGGATAAGTGAGCAAACACATATCTGACTGCATACTGATGAATGTAATTTTCTTTTCCCTGTTTGCCTTATATACATCTGTTTTCTCTGACTTCTTTATATACAGTCAGCTCTTGAATATTTGCTCCAGTGGAGGGAAACAGAGGCATGGATAATCCAAAGTGAAATAATCCCCAAAACATTTATATTTGGCTTTGGGTACTTACCTTTGAATGTGGGTATGTCTGTTATTTGAATTAACTAAAACAATATAAAGCCATGCTCTGAAGACCTAGAGCGAGAGACGCTATCCAGTATCCTTCCCTGCAATCCATTCATTCCATGCTGGGACTAGACATGCAGAACACTAATGTAAGCAGTGCAGTCCTCTCTCATATCTTCCCTTATTCATAATAATAGTAATAATAATAGCAATAATAATGATACTAAATGTTTTATAACTCTTTAGAGTTAGGCTTTCAGTGTGCTTTTTCATACATTCTGTTTAATCCATACAGCAATCCAGGGAGGTAGACAAAACCTAAACTGTCTCCATATTATATCAAGGAGGCTTAGAGAGGATAAGTTACTTATTCAAAGATTATATGACTGGGAAGGGGTAGTATGAGATTCAACCTTAGGTCTTTTCCACATTAGTCCAGTGCTTTTATGTAATACGAAACCACATATATTTCTTAGGACTTCCTTACAGGCTTTTCCTCAAATACATTGCTGTTATTAAGTGCCGTCATTGGTTCTGACTCACAGCAACCCTATATAGGGTATCAGAGGCTTAAAATCTTTGCGGGAGTAGAAAGCCTCATTTTTCTCCTACTTTCAAATACATTGGGGGAGTCTAATCAAATGATTATTATTGAGAATGTTGGTAGACAATTATGTTTTCCATTGTTAACCAACAAATCTAATCAAGCATTTTCTCTTTCTGAATGCTACATAAAAATTTTTTTGTTTTGTTTTAAGAAATTCTGAATATTATCAAACTCTCCATGCTGTATGATGAGTTGATGTAAACTCTCCCATAACCTTTACAAACTTAAATCCTGCCCAATAAACCCTGGGAAAAGAACACATTTGCTGTAGACCTGTTTGCTTTATAATTATTAAAGGACAATGCAGACCTTTATAGAGATGATTGTTCAGGTTTTTTCATTTAAATTTTAACCTCTTTATTTGTGAATTCTTTTTAGTTAGTGCATAAAAATAGCTATGGTATGTGCTTTTTTGACATTCATGTAATTTGTGTTAACTTCTAATTGTCTATTAATTTCTTATGTTAACATAACTGATAACAATATAAAACTGTAATATTACAACAATGAATAAATATGCTTAGTTGCTATTAATAAAGATTTAGAATAAATGTAAGTTAATCAATTATAGTTTTGCTTTCTTTTATCAAAAAATTTAACTTTTTATATTACAGTGATAGTTTCATGCATTTTAATAATTAATTTATAAGATACATATTGTCTTTACGTTTGTAGGTTACTATTCGAGCTTCAGTTGGACCTCTTCAATCAGGATCTTCACCTACACCTTCCATTAGTGCAAGCACTTCTACCCTTCAGCTCTCACCATCAAGGACTAAAAATATAACTGCTAAAAATTCCACAAAATCTAATACAAATAAACCCAATGCAAGTAAACCTAATGGAAGTAAATCTAAATGCAAATCAAAACTCTCTACTGTGCAAAAGAAACAAACTACATTGAATAATAGCAATAAAAAAAGCAAAGTCAGTACAGCATTGAGGAGCTTAAGGTAATATCTTTTAATCCTGATATACAATACTAATCTCAAACTTAAAACTGTTCCTTAATGTATATTTGCCCGCTAACAGAGAACTCTGTTCTACAATTACACCATGTTAGTCAATTATCTGGCACAAAGACCAACCAAATAATAAAAAAAAACTTTTTTTTTAGAACTGTTCAGCAGCACTTGAATTACTGTGTTTATTCTGTAGTCTTCATCTATTGCACTTGTATATGTATTTTGTACTTATATCTTATGGTGTTTGATTGGATTAATTTAATCCCTTTTTAACTTTAAACAATGATAGATTTTTAAATACTTATTATAGCTTGTTTCATAGCAGCTTTTAAAAAACATAAGCCTGTGTTTAAAGATGTTTAGTTAAACACTTTAACTTTAATTAATAGAACATTAAGAAGATTATTCTTTATAATTTTTGTTTAAAAATATTTTTCATAATTTTCTTTATGTCTCCATAAGGTATCGTCGGGGAATTAACAAGTGCATTGAGTGTTGTTCCGAAATAAAAGATTTTTCAAACCACTTTCCTACATATGTCCACTGTAGTTTTTGCAGATACAACACTAGCTGTAGCAAAGCCTATGTAAATCATATGATGAGGTAAGTAAGATGAGTTAAATTGCCAATTAATAGACTATGGTTCAGGAAGTTTGTATTTAAAAAACAAAGTCATCCTATTAGAATGCCGTTTTTCTCTTCAAGAATTAGAGAAAAATTATAGAATTAGAATTAGATAGAATTAGAAAGGTCTATCAGTAGGGTCTGGTACTATTTTCTAGTGATGAAACTCATGTGATTACTGGAACTCATGATACTGTATGTTTTATAGAACTTTAGAATTGTAAGAACATTAAGACTTATAAAATTAGAGGATTGATTTGTTAGGGAAGTAGATTTTCTTTATGAACTTTTTCCTACTATGTTGTTGTTATTAGGTGCCGTAGAGTCAGTACCTACTCTTAGCGACATTGTACAGCAGAACAAAACACTGCCTGGTCCTGTGCCAATCTCACAATTGTTGGTATGGTTGAGGTCATTGCTGTTGCCACTGTGCCAGTCCATCTTGTTGGGAGTCTCCCTCTTTTTTGCTGACCCTCCTCTTTTGTGATATCCATCTCCAGAGACTGGTCGCTCTTGATAATGTGTCTGAAGTGTGAGAGATGAAGTCTGGCCATCCTCACTTCCAAGAAGCATTCTGACTGTACTTCTTCCAACACAGATTCGTTTGTTCTTCTTATAGTGTATGGTACTTTAAATATTCCTCTCTACCACCATACTCAATTGCATCAATTCTTCTATGGTCTTCTTAATTCACTGTTGGACTTTCACATGCATATGAAGCTATTGAAAATACCATGGCTTGGGATCAGGTGCACCTTAGTCCTCATACTGACATCTTGAACACTGTAATTTGAGTCCTCTCCATCTAACATCTACAACTAGACCTTTGAAGGTGTTAATCACCAAATTTTCTCATTTTAATTCTTATTTCTCTATAACTGTAATAGTGGAAATTGTTCCTGTCTTACTTTTGAAACTTCTCCTAAGCTTTTGTTGAACTATATTACCCCTTTTACTTCTTCCATTTTGACAATACCTATCTCATTGTTTTTTCTTACTTCAACTTATCTTACCTCTTTATATTCCCTTCCTGAACTGCTCTCATTTTTGTCCTTTAGATTTTCGGAGATCCACCTCTTTATCTTTAGCTGTTTTATAGCTTTGACTCATTCACCTCTGAAAAGAACACAAATAAGCCAAACATCTTAATGTTCATGATCATTTTTTTCACCCAACTACTACCTTACTACCCTTTAAGTTACACTTCTTTCATAGCATCATTTGCATGAATGTGGCTCACCTGCTGGATATTACTTACCTTTATAAGTTGCTGAAGTGCATGAAATATTCGATCTGCTTACTGCAGCATGTCTTCCTGAGACTCTACCTCCTGCATCTTAGCACTCTACCTTCAAAATACTGTAGTAGTTCTATACCCATCTCCCAACTGTGCTACATCAAGCACCAGGCAACCTTACCCTTAGTTTCCTGCTAGAAGGAAATACGTTCTATTACTGTGCCAAATATGTGTCTGCCCAAAGAAAGTTTTACTTCTGCCCCTAATTGATTAGGGATCAAATTGGAAAATATTCTTGTGTTTCTTAAACCAAAGTAATTCTGTCCTTCCTTCTCTCATTTTCTGTAAGCTTTCTAACTGTCTTGTAGAACTTCCAAACCCACTTTATATCAAAACATTCTTTTGATATAAAAGAATGCCTTTTTCAGTTCCTAGAAAGCCCCAGGCCTTTGCTGCATTGTCACCACACACTGAGACTTTACTCATTGTTATCCTCCTCTGGAACTGAAAACTTCCACTGCTACTTCCCTAAAGCTTTTGTATATCTTCTTTGTCTCTACTTGAGGGTACCCTTGTTTTTCTCACTGCCTTAGGTACCTCACCCCTGCCCTGTATGGACGTTTATTGAGAGCTGGAATTCTGTATGCCCAGAACTTTGTTTTTCTAGAGGATGTGTTCCTTTAATCTCTATTTAATCTCTAGCCAATTCTGTAGTGTGTCACTTGGTTCTCCCCCACTCCCCTGCCCCGAACTCACCATGGTTTTAAATCTGCTTTAATCCATTTATAAAGATTCCTGTTCTATAAATTAATGTGCCCCAAAGTACATTTCCTTTCATGCTCATTATTATCTACAGTTTTCTTATTTTCCGTTGTTTCCTTAAAAAACCTGTGCGCTTCCTTCTCAGTTTATTATCTTAAGTGAAGTGCCTGATCACCAAAATCACAGTGGTCATTCCTCTTTTGTATACCTTTATCTAGTCTGCCATATATTTATTTGTGTCGGTATTATCTCCTTGTGAAGAAGCGACTCACAGTATTTACCATGACACCTAGTACATTAAGAAGTAATTATAAAAAATCTGTTGTTATTAAGTCAATTATCGACTCATGGCAATCACGTGTGTCAGAGTAGAACTGTGCTACATAGAGTTTTCAATGTATATATATTTGGGAGTAGTTCAGTCGACCTTTCTTCTGAGATGCTTCTAGGTAGACTCAAACTAACAACCTTTGGTTGAAGCACGTTAAACATTTGCACCACTTGGGGACCTCATTGGTAGTTATAAAAGACCTCAATAATTATCTACAAAAAGGGTATTAAAAATCTTGTAGCAGTTGGATCATTAAAATATTTTTGAAGGAAAGGACATCATTATACAGTTTTTAAATGATTTTTTTAAGAATAGTATTTAGGTGAGTGGGAGAAACATGACGATTTCTGCCCCAATAAAGATTTATAACCTCAGAAACTGTATACAGGCTCACTGTGAGTGAACTGAACCATGGTACATAACCACCACTCACCGTTTAGATGAAAGTATTTACAGTTTTGTCCCTAAAAGTTTATAACTTTTTGGCAGCAGTAGAGATCATCTGAAAAAATGCACAAAAATTGTTTTATATTGCTTATTCCTTAAGATGATGTATAAGAAGGCCTTTTCTGTCCATATAAGATAATAAACTTGATTGCTGACATGGTTATTCAGTAGTTCTTCTTCTGCCAGTTTATTTTACCTAGATGCAGTCCCACAGTATTGATTATACACCGAATTACTAAGACATGTGGGGAGGCAGACTCGTGGTGAGAAATCGGGCAAATTTGGATTTGAGTCCAAGCATCATTTATTAACTGTCTGTCTTTGGGTAAATTACTCCTGTTTTTTGTTTCTTTCTTAAAAAGAAAGTCATAGTGATGATTAGAGAAAATGCACTTAAAGTACTTAGTAATAAACTATTTTTCCACTTAGGAGAGAGAGTAATGATGTCAATTTCAACTTGTAGCCACCCTGTATTGGGTTTCCTACAGTGCCACATCAGGTGTCTATGTTACTGTTATTTGCTGGGGGATAAAATATTGGTCTTTAATTTTCACCTCTGTGCATCCATAAAACATGAATATAAGGGTGATACATTTATGTAGTTTCATGTGATAAATAATTGTGGATGCACAAAGGTGGTAAATAGTAATCTTTCTAGCAATAAGTATAGGAAATATTTTCATAAGTGATATTTCACTTAGGGTTTGAATAATATTGTTGGGTGTTACGAAAATGATTCCTCTTAAAAAATTCACAGAATCAAGGTTTTTAAGAAAACCTTGCTGAAGACTCACCCCACTCCCTCACATTTACACATAATAAATTTAAGTAAAACTAGATTCAGACAATTAAATTTTACACATAGTAAATTTAACTAAATTTTAGAGAATAACGTGATGAGTTTTTATACTTGTGTACATTCATTTAACAGGTAGTAGACTTAAACACTAGATTGAGATTGTAATGTTAATATTTTTAATACATTTATTTTATTTTCTTGGTATCTACATCAAAATTTTAATAAAAGTACATAGAATTCCAAGTTGTTTTTTTCCTGAATTTTTCAAGTGTGTTCAGTGAACATTATATTTCTTACCAGAAAAATAGACTAAAATGAGTATACAAATGCATTTACACCACATGATTAAACTACATTTTAATAAAAATCTTAACCTTTTTCTCTTTAACTTATGTTTATTTCTGTATGCTTATAGTTTTATGCAGAGCTAATAGAAAATGATATTGCTATTAAGTGCCTTTGAATAGATTGCAACTTTATAGCAACTGTTTATAGTGTTTCTGAAGACCAGCTAGTGGATTTAAACTGTCAACCTTGTGGTTCACAGTCTAGTGCCAGTCCTCCAATGCCACACCAAGTGTCTAGAAAGTATATTGTTCCCTTTTTATTTTACTTTATTTTCATTCCTTATCAACTTTTACATTCATGTAATATACAAAACTACAAATGAAGAATTTCTGTTCTAAATATAGAGAAATCAAAGAGGCAGTTATCTTATCATTTTTGTAGCTATAGTTAGTTGCAACTTACCGTGACCCTGTATAGGGTTTTTATAAATGGGAAATTCAGAATTAAAACTAGATTCAGACAATTAAAATTTTTTAATTAATAGCATTTTAGAAAGGGACAAGATATAGACAGGGAAGTAGAAGTCATAATAAAACAAAATATAGTTGTTGTGGTTTTTTTATCTTGTCAAATAGAGGATAAACCCAAACAGTGTACTTGTTTTAAGACAAAGAAGGAAAAGCCTAACCTTTAAAAGTTACTTTAAAACCTCAATTTCAAAATAAAAGCTTATTTTGGCTCATGTTCTTTGAAGAATCAGATAAAATCTTACACTCATTCCTCTGGAAAAACACAGATGTGTACACAAAACTTTGCATATAATTCCAGGGCTTTCTAACCCCCTAACACTATTCTAAAAATAATTAAATAAAATATTTTAGGATGTCTTAAATTTATAAA